TAATAACTGTGCAGCCATTTTGAAATGTGTAGAGGTGAGAATATCGCAGCCTTCAAGGTTGTTCATAATGGTTTCTTAAATATTAAAAATGGAAATAAAGCTTAAATAAGCATTTCCTCTAAAAAACTAAGTTTTGTTCCAGTTTATGTCTCTTTCATTGGCTCCTCATTACTACTCACCTTCAAAGTCTACATTCCCCAGGTGTAGGATGGCAGCCAGAAGCTTGCTAATTTCCCACGTTTCATTTTCTGTGAATGTCAGGATCTTCATTGCTGACCGGAAGCTGGCGTACTCTTTTATGTCATCCCGTCCTTCGCATGCAGTGCACTGACCCTATAATACAACATATTGGATAGTTTACCCAAAAATTTTAAAATGTTTCATTCATCCTCATGTTGTTCCAAACCTGTACATGTACAGTCTGACTTTCTTGTAAGGAACACAAAAGAGCTGTATGTTCATTTGTGTTGCACAGAAGAAATTCTGATGACTATTTAAAAAACTATCACATTAATGTCACTTTATCCTACCTGTCCATTCTCACTCCAAAATGACTTTGTTGTAACAAATGTAAATACACATGAAAAGTGGGAGAAGTAGTAAAGACATAGAATACGATGATCAATACCATGGTGAGATAGTTGTATTCTGCAGCATTTCCTAAAGACAGGATCTTCTTTTGGTCAAGAGGCATTCCCATGAGCATGCAGTAAAAGATGTGGTAGTTTCTCTCTTGTGGGGCCTGTGCCAAAAATACACTATTATTTGTTTGGTTTTACATTTAATTTGCTGTCTCTTGACCTGAAAGATTTCAGTCTGATTATAATCTCATATCAGGATGGTTTACCTGTCGACAAACACGGGATTTCTCAAGTAGGTACTGTTCAATGCGGGCCCCCTCGATTGCTCCATTTTTAGTGAAGTGGATGTCAATGTATTTTCCAAAGCGGCTGGAGTTGTCATTGCGGATGGTCTTTGCATTACCAAAAGCTACAAAATAAGACTTGATGTAAATACTGAAATGCTTATCTGAGGAACTACAAAGATGAGTGATGCAGGAGCATCCAATATGTTTCTTTATAAACAACCATACCTTCTAAAATAGGGTTGGCTTCTAGAATCTGCTGCTCAATCCAGGAGCGCTGCCTACTCACTGCAGCAAAAAACTGCAGCATGAGTTTGGTACTCTCTGTTTTTCCTGCTCCAGACTCCCCACTGACGAACACAACACATACAGACATTCTCAGATCACATCAAACAGATAACGCTAACAGAATGTATGACAGATGTTGGAGTTGCCAAAATACAGTCCATGTTTGAAATGGGTTACAAAAGGGTATAGTACACAAGTCATATGGACCACTTTTATGATCATTTTATAAGCCTCTTTTATCATTTGAGATACTATATACGGAATATCCTTCACCAGATAAAGAGATTAACATTAATAAATAATGTCAGATCAAGAAAAGGATAAAAAAAGTCAGATGGGTTTGCAATGACATGATTTTTGTACAAAACCAAAAAGCTTTCAAATCAAACTACAAAATGTCAGTTTCACCCAAGTATGAATGACTGAAAGACCTAATGATGCAGCACTGGTCTTTGCGGTTCCGTCGCATGTTGAAGAAACAGCTGTCTGCGATGGCAAAGACATGCGGGGGGAGATCACCCAACCGCCGGTCTGTGTACTGCTCCACCTGCTCTGGAGTGTAGATTGGCAGCAGCTGGTAAGGGTTCACCGCCACCAGAATCGACCCGGTGTATGTCTGTCAAAACAAACAAACCAAAAAGTTGTTTCAAGGTCTTTCAAAAAGATTATAGAGAGTCCCAGTGATGAAAATCTATTAAGCTTTTGCAGCTGGAAGAATAATACATTTATAATGAGATCTACAGTAGTATTTGTTCAGTGCATGAACTGTCCTTTAACATAGCTGGACTTCAAGTTGGAAGGTTGGATTTACTATATAATAGGTATGTCAATGTTGTATAATAATATGAAGCGCTCATCAAAATTGGAACTGGCTGTTTCTATAGAAACAATCTTGTTATTAAACAGGAAGGGCAAAGAACAGCTGGTGAATGAACTGAAGTTGGTGAATTAAGTGGACAATTCAATCCCTATTCTGGCAATTTTAGCTTCACAAATATTGAAAGCTACTATTTTAATTCATATATTTCTGTATAGATTTAAATTCATACATGATTTATCTAATGCGATGGTTAAAAACTCACATAGATTGCTCCTTCTTTGTAGCGCACTAGAAGGTTCCGTAACAGTCCAGCCTCATTTAGGTCACCCAGCCGTATCATATCATTCACACCCTTCACTGAGGTGGGATGCATGGGCTTCAGAGAGTTGTCCTTCTTAATCTTGTGCTCCTGGAAATCATGCCATAGAGGATATCAGCTACACTTCTACAGTCAAGACAAGAAATGAACTAAGACTGGCTGCATATTACCTTTCCCTCATCATCGATGAGCTGAAGTTGCCCCGTTTCTGAAAGTAGGACTTCAGCTCCGATTTGGACCCCATCACTGCAGTCCACCCACACATAGTCTCCCTAAAGGGGATAATTAATATTTTAAGATGTGAATTAAACCATTAACATTAATACATGTGTATGTTAGAAGAAGAGAAACGAACTGATGATAATATACTTTACTTGATCTTCTTTAAGAAAGAATGTTCATAATATGCCGACTTTCTGGACATGGACCATGGTAATGCCATATCATCCTTTGAAGTAAATTGGAGTACCATGTACCATGGTATGATTACAGTAATTTTATTTATACATACATATATCTGATACCATCAAATACCTGTACTTTGATATATATATATATAAAAGATATTGTTCAACCATAAACTAAAGGACAATTCATGATTAGATAAAGCTATGGCATTAGAGTCCATACGGTCCAGTCATTAACTATGATTTAACATAAAACTAATCTAGAACAAAAAGTACCAAAGCATCATGGTAACGCCGCACCCTGTTGAAAAACCAGCATATGCTGGCTAGGTATGTTTTGAAGCTGGGATGCTGGTTTAAGCTGGTCCTTTGCCGGTTTATGCTGGTCCGACCAGCTTAAGACCAGCACATGACCATCTAAGGACCAGTTTAAACCAGCAAAGGACCAGCTTAAACCAGCTCAAACCAGCATCCCAGCTTCAAAACATACCTAACCAGCATATGCTGGTTTTTTCAACAGGGCAGTAATTTCCTTGAGGTGAAAATCTCTTCAAATACTTCAAACAATTTACCTTCCCTAAAACCACCATGACTGAGTCCTCCCGTCCTCCAGCCTGGATATTAGAACAAGAGGACAAATGTTATAATCAAATATTGCTAAGGAAATTTCATTAGTGGAGCTTATGAACAAAGGCAAAATGGCATCTAACATACACGTACACATTACATGAAGCACAATAAAATAGTTTCATCCATTTATGTATTAAATAACAAAACCAAACCACTGAAATTTTTTAAAACATCAACCATAACAAATCCAATGTGAGCTACCTATACCTGTGGATATTCTGTGAAGTCTCCTGATCTAGAAGTATTTTTTGTCGCTCTTCTTTGAAGCCAGAACAAATCCCCACAGGTTGAGCGTTCAGTCAAAATAAATTACTGCTTGGAAACAACAGTTGTTTATGAGACTTTGACTTTGCACCCTGACGAACACATCCAGAATGATAAATACAAGGAAGCTCTGTCCTCCAAATCAGAACAAAAAGCTGTTATTAGTAAATTATAAATACCAAAAAGCAGACTAGAGAATATTAAGAAAATAAAGCTTCAAAATAAACTGTCTTTTACAATGAACACTAGTAAAATTGCAACAGAAAGGCAGTGTGGACCTGCACAGACACACCAGTGATGTGAATATCAATATACAGAACAAAATTAAGACAGATAAGAAAATAAATACAATGTTATTTATCTGAACATTTTCAGTTTTACGTAATGTTTTTTCTTTTTCTTTTTTACAGTAAAGTGTTGAACCTTTGGACCTGCGTGACAACAAATGGAGGGCTGAGATCTGATCATAATGGGGCAATCTAGTAGTAAATAGCATAGTGTCATAGTTATGAAGGGTGGAGCCATTCTGGAAAGTCATATTTCCATCAGGCAATACCAAACTTCATTGCAAGAACTCACAATAATTAGAGTTTACGTGGTGTGGTGTTTTTAGGTCACAGACAGTTTATAGAACAGGTTCGCTCAACAGAGTCAAGAGAATAAACCATGTACAGTATAAAGAATAAAAAGAATAAACCTTACATAGCTTTTATAAAATGTATATCCTTATCAAATGAAAACATACTTGACCTTAACCTACAGGTAGAAACAAGGTGAGATAAAATTGTTAGACACAATCAATGCAGCAATGCTTACTGTCATTTTTTTCACATCATGGTCATTAATTCGTTACACATCGTAAGAAATACTAATTTTACCTACCAGAAAATTTAAATAAGACTATTTTTAAGCTAGTTTGAAACATCAAATCTGTCTGCAAACACCCTTTACTAGCTTGATTTAGTGTAAATCATAAAGACTACTTAGTAAATTCTGAATGATGAAAATGGTGGACATTTTACTACCATCTTCACATTAGAAACATGGTTTCGAACAATGTGGAAACTGTTCTAACAATAATGAAAGGAGTTTACAGAGTACTAGTGAAAGAGCAGACTAGATTTCCTGCTGCGTATCTGATTTTTCATCGGTTCCGTTGAAGAAAAGAAAAAAGATAGATGCCCAACAACAACCTGTTGCTCAAATAGTAGAGCATGGCGCTAACAATGCCAAGGTGATGGGTTGATTATCAGGGAAAGCAAGAACTGATAAAATGTACTTTGAAAGCAACACAAGTCGCTCTGGATAAAAGCATAAGCAAATGTAAACAATGCACTACAGCTTTCACTAGCGAAGTCTTGTGAGGTGTATTTAGTACCAAATGTACTTACTAAACAAGATTCTTTGTAAATGTATCCAGTTTTACTGCAATAGCACATAATAGTTACACACAGAAAAATAAAAGAATGTAAGAATGAAGAAAAAAAAAAAAAATGTACAAAATAGCCAAATTATTATTCAAACCCAGAACAATATTATATCTGTAAAACAGCACAAAAAACAAACAAACAGTGAAAACCACATCACTTCCATTAAGAACAATTTTCTTACAGTGAAACATAAAACATTACACACATTCTTATAATATAAATTCACATAATTATACTGATTCTTTCAAGTACACACTTTGTACGACCATCAGTCACTATAGCGCTTGAATGTTTACAGTGATGAAAAAAACTAGAAGGGTTAGAGGGCATTATATCTGGTTAGTACGAGTCTATTACCACATATTTTCATAGTGGAATTTCTGACTAATCTGGGAGAGATTAACTTCAACATTTGTATTTAACAAAAAAAAAAAAAAAAATCACCCATGTTACAAGGTACCAAAACATGGAAAGCTAACACACTCTTGCGAGCATGTGCGTGTGTGCATTCTGTACTTGGTGTGAATCAAACTAGATACAGGAGTTACATCTAGCAAACATGACCTTTCTGATCTTTAAAGTCCATTACAGCAAAAGCATCGCCTCTACAACTAAACTAAAAAAAAAAAAAGACAACATGTTTCTTTTAAAATGAAATACTTAAAGAATTTCTTTAGGGGAAAAACAAAAACCATTGGTTAACCAGGCTGCCTCATACCCAATGGACAGTTTAACAGTCCACAGTAAGCAGCAGTTCCTATAAAAACAGTTCGATGGTTTACAACCGTCTCTCTCTCTCTCTTTTCGAGACTGTAAAAGAAAGTAGATGATTGTGCACAGCAACCTGATAAACCATAACAGGTCCAGCTTTTGAAGAGCATTCCTGTGTTCAACTCTGCTGAAGGACAAAGATTAACACCATGGAGTGGTATCTATGCCCGCTCCTTGCGCTTTAACTTGGAGCTCTTCTTGGGAGTTCCATTCTTGTTGAGCAGCTTCAGGACTCTGTCCTTATGGTCCAGTACTTTCATCATGGTGTCGCGAGCTTCAGTCACCTGATCCATCACAAGCTTGCAGCGCTGCATATTGCCCTGAACAGAGTAGGTCAAAAGGTCATGAATGTATTTCCAGTAAAGTTGTGCTATGGTTTTTGGGCAAGTCGTTACATGTATAGGTCTAATTTGCATCCAATTCATGATTGTTGTTAAAGGGAAAGAAAATGTCGATATTATTTCCTCACTCTGGTGTTGTTTCAATGCCGTACACCGTTCATTCTTTTTTTGTACCACAAAAGGAGAAATTTAAAAAAAATTTATGCTAGCGCTACTCCATATATTAACAAAGAATAGCAACCAGCATCAGAAAAAAATATGCAGAAGTATCACAGAATGGCCTTGTGCAACACATGCCATATATTTCAAGTGATCTGGAGGTATATGATAGGGTTTTGTAAATAACAAACATAATTTAATTGATTATTTAATAAAAATCCTGACCTTGGCTGTTGGCTTTCTTATACACAACTGCATCATACACGAGACACTATTGGTGCCTCAGTTTACTTTCACCCTACCTATACCCCAGAACAATTGAAATATATACGACACATGTTGCATGGGACAAGTCTTTGATACTTTTGCATCTTTTTTAAAAGACTGATGCTGGTCACCATTCACTCGCATTATATAATTATATAATAGTTAGAACAACACCAGGTGAGTAAATGATGACTTTTTTATTTTCATTTTTGGATGAAATAACCCCAAAGAAATACAAAGTACTGAACAGAATTAGAAAAAAATAAACGCAACGTTTGTTTTATTTTCATATCTTCAATTTAAAGAGCCCCTTATGTTCTGTTGCATTTCGTTTTCAGGTTAAAAGTTTTTTAATATATATGAGAAAGTGTACATTTTAGGTGCTGTATCATTATTCAGTATTTCTCTTTCAAGGTGGTTTTGGGCATTCAGAGCCTGTTTATTGGAGTTTCCATGGTGGGTTGGTAATCTTGAGATACTAACTTGTATGAGCTCATTGATGCGGTGCAGATCCTCGTCAGCTCCAGCTCTCTTCTTTGGGATGAGGCCTTCCTGCAGGGTGGTCAGCCGGCTGTACACGTCATGCTCCAAGTTAGTCTGTGATCAAACAAGAAAGGAATTCATTTAAATGTTACCTATATGCAACATTAACCGCCTCAATAACAGGCTGTTAGCATAATATATTATATATCTCAGCTTCTGCCTAATCGCGATTTATCTCCTTTGCGATTTAATTTTGATTAATCGTGCAGCCCTAATATATATATATATATATATATATATAAACACAGTGAAACTCTAATTAAGCCACTGTAGAAATTTCTGGTGGAAATGACACCATCAGCTGCAGAACCCACCAGCTGTAGCAGCTGTGCGGCACACAGGTGCACTTTCCAGCCCTGAGCTCGACATGCTACTCCTCTCTGATTGGCCATGTCCTGAAGGCTGCCTTTCTTCTCCTCTGAGGAGACAGTAGTGAGATGATTTTGACTCATATGACCATATTCAGTACTATAATCATATTTAAAAAAGAACAAGAAAACAACAGTGCACCAAAATAACAAAAAAACTGAGAAAGCAGACAATGTTGAGAAAGTACTTACCTTTGACTTTGATGTCACTGTACCTCTGGAAGTGGTGATAGGCAGCCTTCCATGGGTTACGGTATTGACGCAACAGAGTGAGGGGCGGTCTGGGGCGGACTGGTACGTAACGAACACCGTCCTCATCTACATTAATACAATCAATGTCACAATTGAACAAGTGTTCACCCATTTTGGGGGGTATTACAAATTCACACTGCTAACTAATATCATAAGGAAATTGAAAAAAGCATAAAAACAACAGTAGGACAGTAGTCGAAATTGTGACATTTACAAGCCATTTCTAATGCTAAAGTAGGTAGATCAAAATTAAATATCACATGTTGACAGCTTTGTTTAAAAAAAAAAATAACACTCAATATTTTCAGTCTTAATTATCATTCTAAATAATATATTTTTTAAAATCTTACTGATGTGTACTGCCAGCTCTTTTCTCTCTGTATCCTATGCTGCTCTGTGGCTGCTGCTTTTTTTTCTTGTTTCGCACTTGTTATAATATTTATTATAATTTATTATGAATTTATGTGAATATTGTTTTCATGTTCACTTCAATTCAAATTTGCTATTATGTTTTTAATTTTCTGTAAAAAAAAAAAATCAATTTAATGGAGGCATCAGTATCAGTGATAATGGCATTCATTCATAGTATGTGAAAAAAGTAATTAAACATTTATAATACTGTCTTTATCTTGTTTTCACATTCATTTGGTGCAATCAATCACAATTACTTACATTGGTGTGATCAATAACTTCAATTTTTTTTTTTTTAACGATCAAGTTTGTTTCATTTATCAGAAAGGATTAACTGTTTAGTGGAATTTTACATAATCAGCTATTTAGATTTTCTGACGGTTACGTGGTGCAGACTGGATCTATCAATTTGTTTTTTATGATTTCCAAAAGGTATATATCCATGGATAATCTCACCAACATATTCCCTAGGTGGAGACTCATGTCTTTCAGGTCTGTTTCCTGGAGCTCGGCTGCTAGCTCTCTCTTCGTCTGTGCTGTTGGTCTCCACCATCTCTGTCTCCTCAGTGGAGATCACATGCTGCTGTTTGCGGGGTTTCTTTCTTGGAGAGGCCCCGGGTAGGAGGTCTCCGGGTTGGGAAGATATGGCCAGGGTGGAGGCCAGAGAGGAGAGGGATGGAGCCGGACCCGTCGAAAAAGGAGCTAAGGGCACTGGAAAAAGATAGAACTCATAAATATATGGAGTACCCAAACTCCAGCCATAAAATCGTATCTTATCAAAGATATTTTAAAACAGCCCATGTGATAATACATTGCTTGAACTGGATGCAGAATTTACCTTATTCTGATAAATAACTGACAGCTCAAATAGCTAATCAAAGTGCTGATCTGACAAGCCTTATTATTGCTATCTACCATATTGTCTGTCTAGCTTTAAAGCTGTCAGATACATACAAACCACCTTTTATAGCAAAAACCCCTATGGCAAAAAAAAAAAAAAAAGGTGTTAACATGGCACATGTAATTCGAATAGTGTCCAGAGTGGCTTGTTGTTGAGTTTCATTTGTTTCTTTCCCGGAATAAGCAAGTGATATCAAAAAATGCAAGCACTGGATAAGACTTGTTCCAAAACTAACACTAGATCCAATTTAGGTGATTACATAGAATTTTATTAGGGGTGGCACGATACCATTTTTTCAGAACCAATCCGATACCAAAAGTTCTGAGTATCGGACAATACCGATACCAGCACAGTTATTTTTATTTAATTTCTATACCTCAGTGTGTGTTGACCTGATCATCACTCTTTTGTGTATTACACACAATCTACTAAATATAGACAACTTCATTAT